AGAGAGAGAGAGAGAGAGAGATCTGGCATATATTCTATATATATAAAACAAAAATTGTATTTAATTTAATTTTTTCTAATATAAATTTGTATTTAATGAAATATATAATATTTATTTTTTTTGTTAGAAGACATTGACTTATTAAAATCAAACGGCAATATATAGTATATAATAACAATTATATACCTGTATATTATAAGTGGGTTTTCAGTTGCAAAAAATAATAATAATAATCTCATCAGTAATAGTAAATAAGTAAAAAATATAAATTATTATTTTTTAGTCAATAATAAATAAATGGATTATAATAAAGAAATATATAAATATAACAGTCAAATGCTTGGTTTGATTTATTTATATAATTATTAATATTATTATTATACTTATAATAATTTTGTTTTATATTAAAATGTATCGCAAAAAATATAAACTTAACTTCTGGCAATAAACTAATTTAATTTATCTAAATGCATAATTTGTATATTATGGTCGTATTAATTATTATACAAAATATATTTGTATTATCAGATGGTAATAAAATATATATTAATTTGATGCCTAATTATAAGAAGTGCAAATTTTATTGTTAACATTATTATTATAGATTAACTATTAAACTAATAATAATATTATTATTTTAGTATCATTTATAATTTTATTCAATAAAAAATTATTTTAAAAATATAATAATATCTGAATTTTAATCTTTTGTGAGATAGGAGTGTCATATAATGTTTTAATATTACTATTATGCTAAATTACTATAACAATTATATCAAAAATTATTAAATTAAAATTTAACATTTTGTTTGTAACTGTAAAATAATATTACTTATATTTTTTATTAAAAAAAATTATCATATTTAGAAAAATTTTATAAATTATAATTAATTATTTAATGTCTTAGATTCAAACCCAGAATACATACCACTCCAGGCCTACACTAGCGGTTCCACCGGCGATGATGTGAAGCTGAATGAACCGGTCATTGATGAGCAACCACTGGGCGAAGCCGTTCTCGATTGGCCACAATATAATTACGGATCTATCAGACAGTTGGCCACATATTTGCAGTCAATACAGCATAAGATAAACCGACAAAAATCTAACAATTTTGATACAACTGATGACGATATTGAGTTCGGCGGTAATGCCAATCATGACAATAATAATGACCAGAAAATCGGTGCAAATAAAGAAAAAGATGATATTGTGTTACCATTGTATAGTGACAGCAAAGTCTGGGATAAAGACGAAAGTGAGAGCCGCACGTCTGAGACCGTCCGACACGTGTACGACAATCCACGCAAAATGGTGTTTGAATTTACGGGATATAAAAGAGTAATTCATTTTTCTTATGATTTATATATATATATATATATATACTGTATATTATAAAACTATTTTGCTTTACAACAGAAATTAGATTGTAAGGGACGGTTCAAACCGTTGAAGACCATTGAATCAGAAACAGAAATGTCACCAAAAATGTTGTCATCTTTATCGCCAAAGTCTCGCCGAAAGCGATACATTGAGTTGGACTACAGTCAGATGCAGTTTCGGAAACTTCCGATTTGGTTCAACAAAAACACCGACAATACGGTTCCCGAAGCTATTGTTGAAGTAAAGCCGCGTTCACTGTTCAAATGGCAACAACCAATGCTCGGCTGGAGTCCTATTGTACCGCACGAAATGGTCCGTAAAGATGTGTTTCTCAAAAGAACTGGTGACCCGTTGTCGGGTGAGACAGATCAGGAACAGGTCGAAAGCAGACACTCTAATCGGTGGTATATTTTTGACAAAAATGGTACCGAAACGGCTAATAATGATTCAGAAAGTGCAGAATCAGTGACATTGGAAGCGCTGAAGAACTTGGATTCATCTAAAAGTTCTGTTGTTATTGATCGCCGAAATTATGCCAACAATCGAGCTCTTAATTATCTGTCCAAAGATATGTCCGGTTCCGATAAAAAGCAAACAAATAGCAAATATGAATCCGAAAATCTGGTGTTTAAGCGACGACCGGATTCTAGTTTGTCGTCATATGATAATCAAGTGACCACTACTCCCAAAATGACCACAGATTCGCAGGAATCGTATGCATTGAGCGCAGGTATTAAAGCTGTTGAAGTAGAGAATGTAGGCGAAGATGTAGCCAAAGCCAAAAGTCTGGACGATATTACTTCAATTCCCGGCGCTGTCATCAAACCGATTGATCCGAAACTAACAGATATTTTGCTAAAAGTTTTGAGCCATAATCCAGATTTTACGCAAAAACGTATAACAAATGCTTATTTCCTGGAGTTTCCCAAAATGCCTGAATATAAACCCTCTCCGATCACCACAACCACCCGTTCACCCAGAATACAGAAAATAGTTAGCAAAGAAGCCATATTTAAGCCAACTTTTAGTGAGCCACCGGTGCAAACACGGGTAAAGTTGCCCAACGGTTCATCCTATCAGTTGGACTACGATAAGGACATTCAGGTCACTGACGCTGATTACGAGTACGGAGAGATAGTTTGCGCCAACAAGATATCGGGCGCAGTGGCCGATGTCCGCAAAGGTTGCCAAATGTACTACCAGTGCACACAGTATACAATAGATACATATGTTTGTCCCCGAGGCACCCGTTTTGACGATCAAAAACAATACTGTTTGCCAACTAATCAAGTAATATGTGGAAAATATTCATAAGTTTGGGGTTTATTACTATATTTTTCTATTTAATTATTATTATTATTGTATTAATATTATTAATGAAAACTTTGAACTCAAAATTTTTGTGATTATAAAAAGATTATAAAAAATATATAATAGTTATATCAATAGTTTTAAGTGATATTATAATTATTTGCCAATTATTGTCAGTTATGTGTTTAATGTTTGAAAAATATTTTATAATTAATGTTTTTAAAAAATATATATAAAATTTTTGTTTTATTTGTATGTAAATTATATTTGTCAAGATTTAAAAAGAATAATTAAAATTTTGATTAAAAACACTTATGAATAAAAAAATATAAATATAAATAAAAATTAAAAAATGTTAATGTAAAATTTGAAATGTCAATTTTTTAAATAGATATAAGTTACTTATATTTATTGATGGTATATAAAATTAAAATAGTATTTCTACTTTTTTTTAAATCTCATAAACATTATCAATCAATATAACCAGTGCTAATTCAATATACAGGTAAATATATCAAACATAAATGAATTTAAAAATATCATAAAGTATTTATATTTAAAGTTGTTTTCATTAGAAACCTCATTATAATTACAAAAATATTTTTTTTAATTTGTAAAAATTACTCAAAAAAGCTTTAATTTTTCTCAGTTTCACAGATATAATGACCGCTAAGTCTTATCTTAACACTTGTTGTACCCAATGATGTAGTGTTGAAATCGGGTGTTAGACTTACATTTAAATACCATTTAGTAATAGACTATATTTCTAATGTTCATTATATAAGAAATTTTATTTATAATATACAGTATAGTAGTGGCAATCATAAGACAAGAGTTGAAGGTTTTATTTTTGAAAAATTGTGATAAAAACAAGAAAAATTGATATTTTTAAAATTTATTATTTTCTATCAATTCATTGCTTATATTATATACAATAAGTTATTGTATGTGTAAAAACCAATTTTAATTTATTTTTTAAAAGTGCTATAAATAATAATATAACTGTCAACACACTGCCATCAATTGTCTATTAATCATTTATTTCAAATTAAAAATAATAATTTATAATGATAATATACAGTATTAGATATTATACAGTACTTATTAATTTATGTTTGATATGTAAAAACTATTAAATTTTAGGCTATTTGTAATAATTGCTTAAATAAAATGTTTTAAAATTTAAAGTTAACTTAATAAACGTTTAAACGTTAATATTTATATAAATTCTATTACTATTTAAATAAAAATTCCATATTTAATACACCGTTAAATTAAATAGTTATATGAATTTGAATATTTGTTAATAACTTCAATTTAGATATATTTCAATGAAATAAATAATAATTTAATTAACAAATTGTCACAAATTTAACTTTTATGTCAATAATAGAAAATATTTTGCATTTCTTAAAATATTTTACTACACTTCAAATACCTGACGACCTATTTATATGTCAACCCTTTGTCTAAAACCCATTTATACAGTAAGTGATAGCACTGACCATACATTTTATGCTTGATATGCCAGTGCTTACAACTGCAACGTATAAACTACAAATGTATCAAAAATTCATATTCAAATAAATGATAATTTAAAAAATACAATTAGTTTTTTAATATATTGGTTCGTCTAAACAACAAATGCCATAACTTATATATTAAAGAAATACTATTTTAAAACATTCAAAAATTCAATAGTTATTAAAATTTACTATTAAATCAATAAATAAATCAATCATTAATGAAAATTCATAACAATTTTTATTTAAATATCTTTATATATTCAAAAAAAACAATCGACTAATTATAGTGAACACATTTTATATATATATATTTGTAAATTATTTAAATATTAAACAATAAAATTAAATTTTGTTTTAAAATTTTAAAAATATTAACAACTTTCTCAAGTGTTATATATAAAAAATTATATGAATTTTATCAACAAAAATCTAAAATATTATTATATAATATATGTCTTTTATATGGTAAACATATTTATATATTTGTCTGTGTATATTGTGAGCAAATAAATATATATTTTAATATTAATAATAATAAACATTTAAAATGACAATACAAAAATACATTAACTAATAAATTAACAAAATTTTTAATTGATAATTATAAACAATTTGTATGCTTTTATAAAAAAAACTTTTAGTCACCACTAGATATAAGGCATAGAAATTGTTATATAATTATAATAACTTTTTTAAATTAAAAACAATTGATATTTATATTTAAAATATAATATTTAAAAAATAATAATGTGCTAAATAATACATACAATAATAATGGCTATAAATTATTACATATATTGTAATTATATATTTTTTATCTATTGAATTGTACTTTTTTAAAAAATGCAATTTAAGGCAAATGTAATATATATTAGTAACTCTTTTACAAATGTTGTGTAAACAATAATATGAATCAACTCTTTTTATAATAACCAGTGTCTATGTCCACACATATATAATGATAAGTTGAGGTTATTATGTTAAGGACATAAAACACGACATTTGGGTTTTTGTTTTGTTTGTTTGAATGAAAAAATGTTTKAATTGTGATATATATTATACAAAATGATATGACGGATGATCACAATTGATGGATCGGTCGGTCAYTCATTCATTGTCGTCCTCGTCATCCCAAACGCTGTGTCGCTCATAAAACTTGATAACCAGTTGCGGACACCTGTGTTTGGCCACTTCGGACAACACAATGGTTTGCTGACCATTAGACCATTTAACCAAAAATACAAGCGTATCGTTTAGACTGTTGATGCCGACAATTTCGTTGGCCGTCCAGCCTCTATCCCAACCGTTCAATCGATTGCGGATCAGCTGAAGAATTTCTTTCTCTTCATCGACAGACATTGACTTCTTCGGTGGTTTTGATGACAACTTGATTGATGTTTTTCGTCGTTTAGCAGACTTTACGCTCTTTTTCTGGTCATATAAAAAGTCAAAATACAATTTTACACATTTATCATAAAAAAATGCTACTAAAGTATACCATATATCTTAATAAATAAATTAATATATAAATAATAATTAATATTATTTTATATGATATACTATTTATTAGTTCAAACAATTTATGAATAAGAGTGTAAAAACTACAGCATATGATTGAATTTAATCTCTCATTTAATGGTTTTTTATTGGTTTGTAATGTGAAACGAGAGGTTAAGAGCTATATGTTAATGCAAGCACTGGAATATTGTGGCGGTGTTATCGATGTTGACATACGAGTGCTAAAACATAACATATTTTTATACACACACACAAACACACACAAACACACATCAATTTTACATAAATAAAATTTCAAAAAAATTTTAGTGAGTCATTTTTTTAGTTATTTCATTAGACAAACATTTTTTTCAATTAAAATTTAAATAACGATGAATTATAAAAATATTTTTTTAGGACATCAAAAACATTGCTAAATCATTGTTAAACTAATTTACTATATTTTCGATACTGTACTATAATAGCCAACAATAYAATCAAGTAATGTATTTGTGATARACATAGACTATGAAAACTGCTAATTGGATTCTGCAATTGTATTATTAGTTTTTATAATAATGGAAATATTGTATATTGATTTTTTTAACTATTAAAAAATCAATAAACAATTATATATTAAATTGAAATTATAAYGTAAAAATTTAAATATAAAATTCTCATCAAAATTTAAAAATAATTGAAGTCATTTAATAAAAAGTAAAATTAAAATAAAATCACTTTATTTAGACATAATAGACATGCATGACGTTTTCAATAAATTAAAAATTACATTATAAGCAAAATAAAAGCATATTAAGCATAAAAATACCTTTTTATGACAAATCAACAAATGATTTCTTATTTCCATAGTTTCCTGTAATTTGTAAGACAAACATACGGGTATTGTTTGACGGGTTGTTACCACAAACGGGAGGGGACAGACACAACATAGATAAGCAAATTATGATTTTATATCAATATAAAGTAAGACAACATTTAAAATAGCAAAATATTTACTTAATAAAAAATAGGTTATAATATTATTTACCATTATAATGTAATTGATATTTATATTAAATATTATTATTATAAGTTAATAATATAAACATTTATAACTAACATATATTTTTAAAAATCTTTTGATATCCATATATTGATGAATAACAATGTTTTAAATAATAAATTTGACAAACAATTAGCCAATATAAACATCCCAACAAGACATGCAAAGCATTTGATATAAACAATAAATATATGATTTTTAAGTTACAAAGTTTTATAAACAATTTAAATAAAATATTTTTCAATTATATTATCGTAGTTTAAAATTAATTTTTAACTAAAAAATTGTTAAATAAACTAAATAAATGAAAAACAAGAGCTCATTTCAATTTCATGGCACTCAGTGGGTGAATGAGTGAGTGAGTTAGAGAGAGAGAGAGAGAGAGAGAGAGAGAGAGAGAGAGAGAGAGAGAGAGAGAGAGAGAGAGAGAGAGAGAGAGAGAGAGAGAGAGAGAGAGAGAGAGAGAGAGAGAGAGAGAGAGAGAGAGAGAGAGAGAGAGAGAGAGAGAACCGGTCCTAAAATTTCACAACAGAGCCAATGATACAATAATACCACATAAAATAACATAAGGAAAATAGATTTGGAAAATCTATTTAAAGGACAGGCATATAGTTTTGAGGGCACTGTTATTATAGTATACTTCATTCAAATACAGTATTATTATATTATATTAAAATAGTATTTTAGTATATTTTTTAGTCAAATAACAGTTTTAAATATTTCAATCATCCAATTCATGCGCTTGTATTAAGAATAAGAGATTAAAGTATAGATAAACCTTTTTAACAATTAGTACTATCTCTATAAACACTTACCGATTGATTGGACTCGACATCCGATGGATGGATGTAATTAAGAGGCACTTCATGTAATCTTTTCTTACTATTACTGTTGTTATTACTATTCGTTGAATTAATTTCCTTATTATTGTTAACTATTATTGGCAAATCATCAGTCGCATCACTCAACTTTTTGCCGATAGCTGATTGACCGTCAATGCTGTCATGTAAATCGCCATTAACTTCGGTGATAACTGTGTTCAACATAATGTCATTACTATTTGTTGAATTAATTTCCTTATTATTGTTTTGACTGTTAATATTGTTATTATCTATATTATCATTATTATTATCATCGCTATAGTTCTCATTAAATGTTTGTTGGCTATGATGTAACTCTTTGTATTCAATTAGCGGCACTTCAAGCGGACTCTTTTGAATGTCATCTATTTTATATCAAATTTAAAAATAACATTTTAAATAACTTATTTTCTAACCCTTAAATATATTCTTTTTAATAATTGATACAAACATGCAAATTAAATAAGCAAATAATATATATTTATAGAATATTATATAAAATATTTTACAATATAAGTTGATTATATTTTTAGATTTTTTTAATATCAAATTATAATTAGAAATATTATTTTTTAAAAATAGCAACAATAAAATAATATATACACAATAAATATTTAAAAAATAGTAATTATTATATTTACCATTATTAGAGAACTGTTTAGTGATAGTTGTAGTGATAGACACAAAATTGTTATTATAAACAGATTGCTGTTGTTGTTGTTCCTCAACATTTGAATCATCGTATACTTCATATGTCGAAAGAGATGGTAGTCTAATGATAAGATTAGTTTCCATCGATTTGTTGTAAGAGTTGTATACAGAAACCGGTGAATTGTCTTTGGATATGTCGTCGTCAGTAGAATAGCTAATTTCATTGTTTTGATCATTAAGTTCTTCATCGTTGTTATCATTATTTTCTTCATTTTTCTGGTAATTGAGTTCTTCATCATTGTTGTCATTATTTTCTTCATTTTTCTGGTCATTGAGTTCTTCATCGTTGTGTTCTTTGAGCTCTTCATTGTTGCTGCCATTGAGATCTTCATCGTTGTTGTCATTATTATCTTCATTTTTCTGGTCATTGAGCTCTTCATAGTTGTTGTCATTATTTTTTTCATTTTTCTGGTCATTGAGTTCTTCATCGTTGTTGTCATTATTTTCTTCATCGTTGTTGTCATTATTATCTTCATTTTTCTGGTCATTGAGCTCTTCATCGTTGTTGTCATTATTTTCTTCATTTTTCTGGTTATTAAGTTCTTCATCGATGTTTTCTTTGAGCTCTTCATTGTTGCTGCCATTGAGTTGGTCATCATTGTTGTCATTCAATTCTTGTTCGTTGTTTTCATTGAGTTCATCAACATTTTTATTGACTTCATCGACAACCAAACAAATAACTTTCTCTATGACTTCAGCGACATCACTATCTACACAATCATTGTTGTCAGCACTATCATCGTCAACAACAACAACAGTTTCATTATCATTACAGACTAAAGTAACATCATATGTCAAACTGATGAGTTGAGAAGACTGAGTTGTGACCACCGATTCAGCGATGAGATCGTCGTCAGCCGAGGCAATAATGAGCTCCTCTTCCTGGTTGACAGAAGTAGTATCTAATTCACAAACAATAGCTTTGAGAGCAATTTCTTCTTCGACAAAATCATGCGGTACACGAATATGTGGTAATCTTTGGATCGGTCGCTGGAGATCATTAACACCACTATATTTTACTGTTTGTCTCTCTTGTGGTGAACATATGGAAGCAACGGCCAGTGCTGTCATGTCATTGATTCCACAATCAATTCTATTATCTATATCATCTTCAGTACGATTATCGTCGTCCAGAACATCAATTTCATTTGAATCCTTATCGACAACAATCTCTTCAGAATCTATATTTTTATTGAGACCAATATCTTCATCATTATTATCATTATCAACAACAATGTCTTCAGAATCTATATTTTTATTGACACCAATATCTTCCTCATTATCATCCTTATCGACTTCAATGTCTTCATCGTCATTAACAGTTGTATTGCACTCAATTGTTTCTGTTTCCACTATAGTTATCGGAGACTCAGATATCAAAGTATTATTATAATCGTTGTTTTGGTCTGATTGTGACATATCGTTGTCATTACCCGTAATCACATTATCTATTGCTATTGCACTCAATCTATTATCATCTTTATTGGCGTCAATATTGCCAATCGAAACACTAGTTTCAATGTTTTGAATCTCTTCGTTATCGACCATTTCATAAGCTGTAGTATTATCGACAACTGTATCTGTCTTATCATTAATTAAGAGATCTTCAGATTTGCGAGTATTAATCGTGTCCTGTGAATCGCTGTCGACAATTCTTAAGCAATTATTTTTCAACAATTCAAGCAACTGCTCGTTCGTCAAGTTTTCAGGTGATTCTCCGTCGGCACAGAAGTATATCACTTGGTTGTCATCAGTGGTTGAGGCGGGTATTGATGACGTATCGTCACCTGAAATACTTGCATTTAAGTCAATACTTTTTTCACTTTCTTCTACAACTATGTCGTCATCGCACGGATAAGACAATTCAATTTCTTCCATGGCTTCGGTCAATATATCTTTGTGGCCATTGACTTGTGCTGATGCCGGCGGTGTCATAGATGCCGAACTAATTGACGATCGAGATGTTGGCCTTATTAGTGGCGGCGGAACATCATTTAAAACAGCTTTTAAAAATAAAATTTAGTATAAATTACAAATATTTACAAAATAAACAAATATATATATATATATATTTAAACTAAAATTAATTCTAACCTTTATTTAAGTTACTATTTGCTTGTATAGTATGCTCTTTGTTTTCATAACCAGTCGGATATCCCATAGGTACTGGACTTCCAGTGGTTCCCATATATCCGTGTTTCTGTATAAGTGATAATCGTTTTTCATTATCAATCAGTTTAGGCGATGAACTATTGTCTTCATCTTCTCCTTCTGATAACAATCTCTGCAATAAATCATGTCTTGTGATACTATTATTATGACTATCATTAATAATGGTATTATTATTGTTGTTGTTTTTATTAGTATTGATTTGATTAGACATTTGTGAGTTAAACACTTGTCTATAGTCTGAGCTGTGATTGTTATGTAAGGGTAAACTGGATCTATTGTCACAGATTTGTGGCCTAAGATTCGAACGGTGATCAACTAGTTGTCTGTCTTTAATGTTTATGATATTGTTATCAAAATTAGTCATCTATTAAATAACAAAAATAATCAAAAATTGTTTTAAAAAATAAAATTTATTTAAACTCAACAAACCTGTTGAACATATGGATTGAAAATTGGTTGCTCTTTAAAAGAGTTGACTGCTGTGTATTGCTGGCTATCAATACCATAGTTTTGTTCAATTATTTTTTTACGGACTTCCTCTGACTGTTTTGGTTCAACAGTTATCCTCTTTTGATGACATTCAGCGGGTAATGGAATAAATTGAGTTCTCATTGGTGGAAGTGGTGTTGGAGTTAGATGTTGTTGTTGAACATTGTTATTATTATTGGGTATAGATTTGGGAACCGATGAAGGAGATGGTAATCGTCCACAATATGACATTGTATTGGGCATAGAGTATGGATGACGCTGTTGTTGTTGTGTCAAATGGGACATTCGTTGATGAGTTAGTATATCTGGTCTGATTGTCGACGTATTTACGTATGAATTATATGGCCTTTCATGAGGACCGGGCATCCGATGTTGCAAACGATTAATATTATGATCTACTACTGTATGGGGTAATGGCGATGACCGCATTAGTGATGGATATGGTGGCGGTGGTCTGTTATGTGTTGAATATCCAACAGACTGAGACATTTGCGTTTGAGGACGTATGCCATTACTGCCCATCGATGACATTACATTTGGCATCTGATGTCTTGCATTGGGCAACAACATTGAGCTTCTCATGTGTTCGGATGTCGTATGAGTAGAGGGAGGGTTTCTCATGTGGAACGACTGAAAATGTTGTGTTGTGGATGAGTCCAGTCGACTATTATTTATCATATGTGTTGGTATTCGCCTAATACTATCAGAATATGTATTTGGCTGAGGAATGTTGTAGTGATGCTTTCGTGGCTATTATTAAAAAAATACAATACAAAAAACAACAAAATAAATATACCGTAACTTAAAGTACAACTTATGAATACAACATACATGATTGATATGTGATGTCGATGGAAGTGTTGTCGGTAATGAAGGCATCATTGGTGGCGAATGTTGAGTTAGTGGCGATCGTATGTTGGACTGTATTGTCGACGGAATGCCATGAGTTGGGGTCGAGTGTCGCATATATTGATTGCTATATGTCATCGATGGAACAGTCATACCGTCGGTAACCGGTGGACGGAATGATTGATATGGATGATTGGTTTGGTTGAGAAGAGGCCAGTTTGACGCGTCTGCAACTAATCCATCGTTTGAAATCATTTGTTGAGGATATGATGACCGACTAGTTCGTGTCAAATGAGATAAATTGGTTATTATGGGCGGAGTTGGGTTACGTAAATCAGTCGCTATATCTATATAAAAAAGAGTAACAAAATAGTATAATCAGTTATCATATCTAAAAGGATGGTCCAAATAGTTCATAAAAATTATATATATATATATATTTAACTAAAAGATTATGTCATACTATGGTTAGATTGAGTTATTTGGTTTGACATTTGGTTAATAGTCATGTCTTGTAATGGACTTCTACCTGTAATCACATCGCATAAAATATTGGATGTGGTCTGCAGTTCACCTGATTTGTCTTTGAAATTCTGTAAACGATTGGATATGTTATCGTAGTTGAGCATACTTGATGTGGACATGGATTGAGTGATTGTTGAAATTGGTGGCAATGGTTGCTGATGAGTAGATGATAGTGGTAACGGTGTCTGACTAACTGTCATCTGTGAATGTGCCGGTATTGTATTAATCAGTGGATTACTATCGTAACAGTTGGTATAATTGCTGCCCTGAGAATTGCGATCATATGTAGGTTTATGTTGCCATTGGGAACCTGTAGATGATATAGTCGGTGGTAATGGTGAAGGCGGTTGTCGTTGTGTGGACGAAGACGACATCTGGATATCTAAGTCATTAAATATATCTTCAGTTATAGATGATGTGACACATAAAACAAATTGATTTTTAATAACAAGAAATTTAAACAAGAAAAAACAAATTAACAAAAATTAACAAAAATTAACAAAAATTAAAATAAATAAAATTATTAAATAAAAAACAATTAAAAAAAAAATTTATAAAATAAATGATAATGAGTTAGTGTTTGTTAATATTTAGTTTATTTTTTATCGAAATACCTAATGAATGGTAGTCTAAGAATAAATCATGCGTTTTATCTCCATATGTTTGATATGGATTTAATCGGGATATTAATGACAACGAGTTTGTTAATAGATCAACACTGGATCTTCTAAAACTAATATCTTTAGTTGAATTAAAATTACCTCCGATTTGATAGGACTTATCATATAATGGTGACACCGTAGGTCCACCAACTGGTGAATTATTATTATTAATATTATGATTATTCAGTTCACGTCTATCGACGGCCAACGTGTTTATTGGTGAAACATTTTCAACTATTGGTTGCACTGGTAGTTGTTGTTGTTGATGATGTTGATTAAAGAGTGGCTCCAGGTTAGATCTATTCAACCTATTATCTAAAATATAATTAGAGCCAACGCTATAGTCACAATGGACACTAGTGGACTTAGTAGGACTTCCAGTATAGCAATTATTATCGACTGTTGTGGCCACAGGCGATAAATCCATAGAAACAGGTGATACGGGCGAATAGGCCGTTACCAATGCTGGCAAATCATCAGTCGCATCACTCAACTTTTTGCCGATAGCTGATTGACCGTCAATGCTGTCATGTAAATCGCCATTAACTTCGGTGATAACTGTGTTCAACATAATGTCATTACTATTTGTTGAATTAATTTCCTTATTATTGTTTTGACTGTTAATATTGTTATTATCTATATTATCATTATTATTATCATCGCTATAGTTCTCATTAAATGTTTGTTGGCTATGATGTAACTCTTTGTATTCAATTAGCGGCACTTCAAGCGGACTCTTTTGAATGTCATCTATTTTATATCAAATTTTAAAATAACATATCATTATAAATAACTTATTTTCTAACTCTTAAATATTTATATATATATATTAATAATTGGTACAAACTTGCAAATTAAATAAGTAAACAATATATATTTATAGAATATTATATAAAATATTTTATCAATATTATTTGATACAATATAAGTTGATTATAATTTATATTTCTATTATGTATTATTTTTCAATAGACAAACACATATACATTTGACAGACAGTAACAATAAAACATAGCGGTATTAAAAAAAATACGGCAACGACTTTTAAAAAACTTTTTGAAAAAAATAAATATAAAAATGTAGTCATAAGTAAATAATGTATACTATAGGCTATAAATTTATATAAAACCAAATAATGCAAATCATATGGAATAATTAGTTATTATTATTATTATTATGATAAAAAATCAAAATAACTAAATATTTATTCGTTTAAATTATACTTAAAATATTACGCTATTTGATATATGATTTGACGTTAATATATATAACTATAAAGTGATACAACATATTTTTTGTCACTTAATGAATGTATTCAAAGTGTTAATTAAACAATTATTTAAAAAAATTATTTAATTGTTATTTTAATTAAGTATAAAATCAACGTTAATTAGAAATAAATCTTTTCATCAAATTTTCATCGAAAACTTTGTCACACAAACAAAAATATAATAAAACAAATTTATAATTTATATTAAAATATATTGATGTTATTATAATAACTGTGAAATATATAGAAACTTATTTTGTTGTTTAATATAGTTCTTAATGTCACTCAATATAAAAACATTGCATTAATTTAAAACCATTTCTTTATAATTTCAAGATATGTAGTTCAGTAGAGTATAAACATATTTTATCGACTTTCATAATAATAAGTTTTAGCGCAATACCACAAAACATACGTAAGTATATATATAAATATATACCTATATATATATATATATATATAAAGTTATATTATAAACTATAAAGTAAGTTTATATATATATGGTATATTATACAGGTATACTACAGTATACAATATACAGGTATATACAAGTATATTATGTTTAAAACACACAGTAAATTCACTAATAAAAAAATTGTGTGTATGTGTGTGTGTGGCATCATTTGCACCAGTATACTGTATATGTCTCTCATGGAAACATTGATAAATCAATGGGAATATATATATATATATATATAAATATAAATTATATATAATGAAAAACTACAATATTAAAATTAGAAGACAACTATAATATAAGCACAATGTCATCTAAAAAGCGTTATATTATTATACAGGTATATATAGGTAAGTCTATGAGTGTGTCACTAGTAGTCATTCAATATTATAGATATAAAGAAAATTAATGACATTATTCACAAGAATTTTTTCAATAATAATAATAAAGCTATTAAACTAATGATAACCTAATAATAACAATGAAATAATTGATTTGTTTCAAATGTTTATATTTTTTTAAGATAAAAATTAAAAAATGTAATATTTTGATTTATAAAAAATTGAAATCCGATATAGACAATATATTAATAAAATATACTGTATATAAATAGCCATAATTTTTAATTTTAGTAATTAGAAAAAATAGATTTTTTTAAATATTAAATTTTCAATTATTAATTAAATTATTGGCTCAAAATTGTATATAAAATAGTAAATTATAATTAGATATTATTAAATTATAAATATTATTATTAAAAAAAATAGCAACAATAAAATAATATATACACAATGAATATTTTTAAAATAATAATTATTATATTTACCATTATTAGAGAACTGTTTAGTGATAGTTGAAGTGATAGACACAAAATTGTTATTATAAACAGATTGCTGTTGTTGTTGTTGTTCCTCAACATTTGAATCATCGTATACTTTATTTGTCGAAAGAGGCGGTAGTCTAATGATAAGATTAGTTTCCATCGATTTGTTGTAAGAGTTGTATACAGAAACCGGTGAATTGTCTTTGGATATGTCGTCGTCAGTAGAATAGCTAATTTCATTGCTGTGATCATTGAGTTCTYCATAGTTGTTGTCATTATTTTCTTCATCGTTGTTGTCATTATTTTCTTCATCGTTGTTGTCATTATTTTTTTCATTTTTCTGGTCATTGAGTTCTTCATCGTTGTTGTCATTATTTTCTTCATCGTTGTTGTCATTATTTTTTTCATTTTTCTGGTCATTGAGTTCTTCATCGTTGTTGTCATTATTTTCTTCATCGTTGTGTTCTTTAAGCTCTTTATTGTTGCTGCAATTGAGTTGGTCATCATCGTTATCATTGAACTCTTGATCGTTGTCTTCATTGAGTTCATTAACATTTTTATTGACTTCATCGACAACCAAACAAATAACTTTCTCTATGACTTCAGCGACATCACTATCTACACAATCATTGTTGTCAGCACTATCATCGTCAACAACAACAACAGTTTCATTATCATTACAGACTAAAGTAACATCATATGTCAAACTGATGAGTTGAGAAGACTGAGTTGTGACCACCGATTCAGCGATGAGATCGTCGTCAGCCGAGGCAATAATGAGCTCCTCTTCCTGGTTGACAGAAGTAGTATCTAATTCACAAACAATAGCTTTGAGAGCAATTTCTTCTTCGACAAAATCATGCGGTACACGAATATGTGGTAATCTTTGTATCGGTCGCTGGAGATCATTAACACCACTATATTTTACTGTTTGTCTCTCTTGTGGTGAACATATGGAGGCAACGGCCAGTGCTGTCATGTCATTGATTCCACAATCAATTCTATTATCTATATCATCTTCAGTACGATTATCGTCATCCAGAACATCAATTTCATTTGGATTCTTATCGACAACAATCTCTTCAGAATCTATATTTTTATTGAGACCAATATCTTCATCATTATTATCATTATCAACAACAATGTCTTCAGAATCTATATTTTTATTGACACCAATATCTTCCTCATTATCATCCTTATCGACTTCAATGTCTTCATCGTCATTAACAGTTGTATTGCACTCAATTGTTTCTGTTTCCACTATAGTTATCGGAGACTCAGATATCAAAGTATTATTATAATCGTTGTTTTGGTCTGATTGTGACATATCGTTGTCATTACCCGTAATCACATTATCTATTGCTATTGCACTCAATCTATTATCATCTTTATTGGCATCAATATTGTCAATCAAAACACTAGTTTCAATGCTTTGAACCTCTTCGTTATCGACCACTTCATAATCTGTATTATTATCGACAACTGTTTCTGTCTTATCATTAATTAAGAGATCTTTTGTTTTGCGATTATTAATCAAATCATTAGATTTATCTTCATTTAACATATTATTATTATTATTATTATTGTCGGACACAGTCTTCAACGACACCTCATAGGACGGCTTTTCATATGTGTTGGAAAGCATACGTTTGAGCACTAGTTTAGGCAATCGGAGCCTTTCAATGACTACTTGTGGCTCTAAATTCATTTTATTGTTGCCATCATTGGCGGTGCAAATATTTTTATTGGTCTCTAAGTTTTCATTCTCTGTCTTATTTTGATCGACAATCTTCTCGTCCACCGTTGAATCTGAATCAAAGTCAGAACAAGTATCGGGAGCTTTGTTAACAAATGGCTGAACAACTGAGTACTCGGACAAAGAGGATACTGTAATAACCACAAAAAAATCACAAAACGGTAACTAATTATTAAATAATAAATATTTAACAAATAATACCTGGACTTTGGACATCACCAGGATCTGGACATCCTCTTAAAACCTCATAATCACAAACTGTTGAATTTAACAAAGAGTTTCGACGTGACGCCACTGATGATCGTCTTGAACTACATTGACTGCGACTATTAGATCTGGATCTTAACATTCTGGCAGATGTTGTCTCACTGGTATTACCACCAAATACGGGGCCCGTATTGTTAAGCTTATCGATAATTCGCTGAACATTTGCTAAATCAAACAAAAATAAAAACATAAATTATATAATAAAAATCAGTCAGTTTTTGGATGTTTTACATTCATAGCTGACATCTCTGTGCAAAGTTGATGGTGTTGTTGTTGATGATGATGTCAATGATGTGTCGATGGGATATGAAAATTGTTTTGTCTTTTTTGGTTTCTTAGCCCTGGGTTCAGTTGGTGTTGACTTTTGCGACTTCTTATGTGATTTCGATGTCGATGCTGAGGTCATGTATTGAGCGTTTGATGATTGGTCGCTACTTCGGCGGCGCTTATGTGACAGTTTCGATGGTTGACCAGACCGTTGACGTTCCTCAAACTCTTGGAGTAGACTCTCGGTTGCGATGTTCTCCTCCGGTTCCCATGTGTTATAGCTATTACCCCAACCCAACCATTTTATATAATATAATGTTTTGCCCATTTGGTTGACCTTCTTGTCCAGTATGGCCTCAACGGCATAAAGATCACTGCCGTTAAGTGGCGGGGGCCGTGACCTGGCCTTGGACTTTGATCCCGACATTATCTAAATATAGAATAACATTACAATTATGTAATTAATAAAAAATTAATTAATTATATTTCAGACATTATTTATATGCAATTTTACGCAATTATCTAATAAATTTATTAAACATTTGGTTTTTATAGTACAGTATGAAAATATATTATGCAAAGTTGTGTATCCAATAAAAATTGCTTATAAAAGTAAGTCATATTGAAACTTTCAATTTGAAAATCATACAAAATATGTAAATTTCAATTATTACATTTAAAAAGATTGTTTTTCATTAGTATTATTAATTAATTTTCAATACAGGTATTAAAAAATACAGTATAGTATTCATAAGCAATCAGATGACATGTAAATTAGTTTTTTTTAAAAATACAAATTCAATATTAAACCTTGAATTGTAATTATATATATCTTTAAAAATTACTAATATTCAGTAATCATATATTAAAATATAATTGTTTAAAAAATAATAGCTGTAGTCATTCATACAAATAAAAGTATCACATTTAATATTTATTTATTTTTAAAAAAAAATTGAACCTCAATTTTTACTATTTATTATTAATAAATAAATAAAATTAAAATAAACATGCATGTTTTACATGTGTTTTTTTCTAATTAACTACTGTATATATTATTTATTGCTGTAATAATTAGTTAAATAATTTATTAACTCTATGAAAAAACTACTTAAATTACCACCACATAAACAATTACTGGCAATAAAACTAATTAAAGTTTAGTAAATAAAACTATAAAATAGGGATTAATAGTAATAACCATAATAATAATATAGCAATATCTATCAATGATTATTAGATTTTAAATTTTTTTAAAAAAAGTGATGATTATAATTGTAATGACAAAAAATTTCAGCCAATTTCAAGGCCTCTATCTAAAAGTCACTTTAAATCAATACAAACATACTGTATATAAAAAACATTAATTATATTTAATAGGTTATCATGTATCGATTAATTCAATAGTATTTTTTTAACAAATACATAAATATACAAAAAGTTTATATATTGTATAAATTAAATATAAATATTGAAAGTATAAAATCTCATTCAATAATTTAAAATCAAAACTCTTGTCAAACATCTATTGTTATTAATATAATATAATCTTTACATTATTTTACTTCATTTTTAATTAATTAAATATAATACAGTAATACAAATAATATTTAAACAATTTTAGAAATATAGAAAAAATCTATAATAAAATAATATTTTATTTTAAAAAAAATCTTCAACTTCTGCTTATAATGAGATATCAAATATTATTGAATCGTTATTATTATTATTACTAATTTTATTTTAATATTTGATACTCTACTTTACATAAAATTACAATTACATTGCTTTTACTGTACATTAAAATATAATTTATACTGTACTGTATATATACTGTAATTATTATTTTCGTCTAAATAAAACAAAAAGTGAATTAATTAATATAAATAAATGCAAAAAAAATAATAATTAAAATTGACAATTAATTATGATAATAAAACTTATATATAAAATTTAATTTAGTTTTCAAATACAAACAGACAATTTTGTTGTCAATAATGTCATGTTTTATCTAATAATATCTTAACAACACTTATGTATTGAATACTAGCATAAGATATAGCAATCAAAAGTAAATGAAATAATTAATTGTAAATATAAACATAATATACGGTACAGTATTAGCCTATAAGTGTTATATACATTAGATTGTATATCATTATATTACTTAATATCATTCAAATAATATATGATATAACATATTAAGTAAATATTAAGTTTCATTACACATATATAAAATGGTCTCAATAAGGGACGCCAAAAAAAATATAAAAAGTTAAGCAATTGTTAGGATACGAGATCTGACAATAAATAATGTCTACAAAATTAATAAATAAATAAATTATATAATACACACAAAAAATTAAATACAAAAATTATTTTCATTTATTTTTATATTCTATCTACACAGAAATAATAAAATGTTCATTTTAAATTTTTGTAAATATTATAGATATAATACTACCGATTCCCACAATTATAGTTACAAACAGTACAACATATTTATAAGTTTAAAAAATTATAAAAAATTAATTTAAAATATAACATTATTTATAATCATTTAAAATGTTCAAAATCACAAAAACAAGATAATAATAATCAAATAATTAAATACAATGGTTGGTAGAGCTCTTTAAGGATTTTAAAATCACCAACCTATTGGGTTGGTAGAGCTATTTAAGGAATTTAAAATCACTAACCTATTGGGTTGGTAGAGCTATTTAAGGAATTTAAAATCACTAACCTATTGGGTTGGTAGAGCTATTTAAAGTATTAAAATCATTAACCTATTGGGTTGGTAGAGCTATTTAAGGAATTTAAAATCACTAACCTATTGGGTTGGTAGAGCTATTTAAGGAATTTAAAATCACTAACCTATTGGGTTGGTAGAGCTATTTAAGGAATTTAAAATCACTAACCTATTGGGTTGGTAGAGCTATTTTCGACTATTCGAATATCTCGAATTGAGGAAGTCGTACAGCTATGTGGTGGTATGAAGAAATTGGATGCTATTAGATCTACCATCACTATTCATGATTTTAAATTCCTTAAATAGCTCTACCAACCCAATAGGTTGATGATTTTTACTCCTTAAATAGCTCCACCAACCCAATAGGTTGATGATTTTTACTATAAATAGCTCTACCAACCCAATAGGTTGAAGATTTTTACTCCTTAAATAGCTCTACCAACCCAATAGGTTGATGATTTTTACTCCTTAAATAGCTCCACCAACCCAATAGGTTGATGATTTTTACTCCTTAAATAGCTCTACCAACCCAATAGGCTAATCTTAAATATATAATGTCATATTTATACGTATTTATTATTTTTACGGATTATTTTACATTAAATATAATTTATAAAAAATTATTTTATTTTTTTAGTGTAACTTGTGTAATTTGTATTTTAAATTTTTTTATTTTCATTATACTGTACAATCAAAATTTACTATTATTTTTTTGTGTGTAAAAATTATATTTATAAATAAAACTAATTTGATGACGTTATTGACATTCATTTGTTGATAAAAATTATTTTGAATTACATGTCCCTAATTGAGATTTTCGTGATTTATAATTAAATAATTAATACATAGATTAATAAAAGTGATTATTTTTGTTATTAATATTTTTACTAATATATTATTTATGTATAAAAAATAATAGTTATAATTTAATTATACTAAATATTGTTTAATTTAATTTCAAACTTAATGTTAAATAAGGGATGAAATGGTGATATTTTGTGTTATCTTTGTTGTCAATTAATTGTTGATTTTGTGATAAAATTATAACAATTTTGATTCACTTGTCTTATAAAGTATATCCTTAGGTTTGTAATGACATATAAATATCAACAATTGTTTAATTATTTTGTGATTAAAATTAATTTAAAGTATGCCGTCCCTTATTAAGGCTATCCCCAATTAGGATTATTTACACTAACTTATTTTTTTAAAATAAAATAATACTGAGTATAAATGTATAAAATAAATCAACAAAAATAACAATAGTGTTGTCAATTATAAATTAATTAAATATTATAACTAAATATAAAATAAAAATATTTACATTTGTTTAGTGTGTGTGTGTGTAATGTGTTTTTTTTTTGAATAAATGGTGGGTTAAAAAAGTAAAGTTACTAATGTGTAAGTTATTAGACATAAAAAACATATATAAATATATATTATCATGGTAAAATTTTATACATATTTAAACTAAACACATATACATACCAGTGTTATAACAAATTCATTTCATACCATTGTTTATCAATTTTTTTTCAATAAATATATTATAACTTGAATTAAAATCTCAAAAAAATTGTTTATTATTATTATTAGAGATGTTTTTTATATGTAGACTGATATGAATTGATACTATTAATAGATATTTTTTTTAATAAACACTTAAATATATAATAATTGTTACAAACAATTGTTAATTACATGAAAACATATATTTTTAGAAATATATATATAATTTAATACTCACTACTAAACCACTAATAGTTTATTAAATTTGTTGTTTATTTTTCATCAATTAGTTATTAGTTGTTTAGTTATAGACTATTACTCGTTAATAAATAAAAAAAACATTAATATTATTATAGTATTATTGCAAACACAACACAACAAGTGTTTTAATATTATTATACAGTATTATAGTGGTGTCACTGTTGGACAAACATAAATGACGTCATTTACAATGACTATGTATTTTAGTAAAAAATATAATATTTAAGTATAAAAACAAACCAATTGGTATGTATGTCACCATTAATTTTTACAGTACATACAAAATACTGTTTCTATAGTTAGATGATTTGGGACTTTTTATTATTATTATTATTATACCTGTATATTACAATTTTTAATAGTAGAAATTTTATTTCTAATACAATTCAGTATTATTTATAGCAAAATTGATATTAAATTTTTATAATAATAATAGTAATAATAATAATAATAATAAATTGGGTGCAATGATTGATTTGAATAAAAAAAATTGTGTTTTTTTGTTGTTGTTGTTACCAGGGTATTCCCAATTGACATATAATCTATTATTATTATCATTATTATTATTATTATATTAGATATTATTTAGTATTTAGTATTATTAAACTTTTTAAGCATACTATAGTAAGTTACTAGTAAACTATCCATGTCAATTTTTTTTTCAAGTCAACCTAGTTATGTAATAATCTATACACACATTTCATTGATATAATATTGCAAATACTACTACTACTACTAATAATAATAATAATAATTAAAAAAAATAATATTGTAGAATAAATTAAATACATTTATAACATTTTACATACACAAATATGTACATGCAAAAATTTTTATGTAAATTAAAATTTATTAATACAGTAGATTATTACAGTATTATAATTATAAAAATTTGTAACTATGTCATCATGTTTTTTAATATATACAAAAAAAGTATATATATATAAAAGATCAAATGTTTGTTACAAATTGTAACTTACAATCATATTTGTTGTCAAACATGAATATAACTTAAATATAAATAGAAATATAAAATGAAATATAAAATATTTATTTTTTGTAATTAAATATTAAAGATAGTGTGCACTTATTATACTACCGTATTATATAGTATATATAAATATATAAATACATGATTATATAAAAATTTATTTAAAAATTGTAACAATTTAAACATTGTTAGAAAAATATATTTATTTAATAATATATTATAAATAGATAACTTACTTCCAATTCGGAAAATAATTGAAAAATTTCTTTAAAATTATCATCATCCATAGTTATTAATTTGAAAAAATAATCATATAATTTAATTAAATGATATTTTTTTGTTATTATATGATTAAATAGTTTTAATTTATGGTTATCAAAGTTTTAAACACATTTTTAACTTTAATAATAATTTTAGATATAGTCTTATTAGAAAAACACTTAAATAATTTTTGATGTTTATTGTGTCACAATGTTAATGAAAAAAATAAAATAAATATTTTTATTATTTTAAAAAGATTTTTGACACTTTCATGTTTGTTGATTATATATTTATAATTTATAATCTACAATTTTAATGTTAAATGATTTAAATGATTATGAAAAATATGGTTTTTACCAAAACATAACTATTTAGTAATGCATAACATTTATATACTGTAGAAATCACACACACACTTGTCAACACATTGACTGACACATATTATATGATATAAAATAATAAAAGAGTTAAATATTATTATTATTATTATAAAATTGATGTTTTAAAAATAGTTCTGGTGAAAAATTAATAAATAATTTATAATAATAAATATAATTTTGCCAATAATTAATGATTTATTATGATATATTTATAATACAGTATATCTACTATTAGCTGAAAATATATTTTTTTAATTTAAGTATATATATATATTTAAGATAAACTAGTCGTTATGAAAGTTATCAAAAAGTTAAATTATTTAATTTTTTAAAAATGATTTAAAATTAAATGCTAATTATTACATCTAAATATCAAACTATCTCTTTTGTAGCATTAAACGCATGTTTAAAGTGTCTATAAAAATAAATGGGTGTTTATAATAGGATAACAAAAAAGTCAGACACAATTTCCTGGTTCATTATATTGCAATATAAATCCAATGCTATTTTATTTTAAAATGGCATTTGATTTATTTTGTATGTATTTTATTTAAAAATCTTTTTTTTCAATACTAACGACATTATAATTATAATAAAATTAATTTGTTTTAGGTTTTCCTCGTAAATATATTGTACTATTATTCTCTTAAAAATGATTTTTTTTATTAACTACAATTCATTCTATTGGGATATATTTTATTATTATTTTTTGTGATTAATTCTATCTATATAAATAATAATAGTGATTAATTAAAATAAAAATATTACACTAGTAAAATTAGTAAACTAGTAAATCTTTTAGCTATATTACACACATATATATTATTCAATCATAATATTAATACTGTATATAATAATATATGTAATATAAAAAATTTTATTATCAAATTTGAATTACAAATAAACTATTAAAATTGATGAAAATTATAATAAAAAATTAATTAACACTTTTATTACTGTATAATGATATTTAGAAAATAACTAAGTTAATGTTATAAATATTATTTATCAGAAAATAATAGTTACAAAATAATAGCATATAAAATATTATTATTATCAATTTTATTGATTTGCAACAACATATATAGCACAAAAAACAACATTTCACTTATTTTTCTTGTATTATATTTTATTAATCTATAAGACACAATATTTTCAAAGTCACACAATATACATATAATAATTTTTATTATTATTATTACTTTCTTGTATTATATTATATGATATATATATATATTCTGAAATAATATACTATACACTAAAAGTCATTAAAACATATATATTTCATATATAAATTTATATAAATGTAAATGCATTTTTACATATTTACATTTACAGAAACATATTTTTTATATAATGTAGATATTATAATATTGACTTTTGAAGTCTACGTTTTAGTGTATATAAAGATTTTTTGTTATTATTATATTTTATTGCTGAATCAAATGTATAACTCAAAAATAATTGTTATCATTCATGCAATTATGAAATATATTTTTTAACTATATATTTCTGCAATACATAAAATGCTGTGTAAATTTATTCATATAATATAAAGTTAAATAAAACTGTATATACAAAATGTAAATTGTTGTCGATTTGATATCAGTGCATGCATTTATATTATGTAAAGTTTTAAATAAATTATATAATAGGGGCGTTTTAATTAAATACAATTATTTTATTTTTTTAAATAAAGTTTTTATTTATTTATAAAATCTTCAATAAATTTATATACACTATCAATAATAAATTTTTAAAAATTAATACCTTTTTTATAATATTAATAAAATTTATAATTTATAAAATTAACTTTTATTTTACTTAGATTTAATGTGATTAAAATTATATTACAAAAAAATATATGACATAATAATTAAACAATTCCACTTTTTATATATAAGAATTGCTTGTAATTTTATGATGACTTAAATTTTTTATTAAATAAGTATACATATAATAAGAATCTTATTATTTAATTTTTAAAAATATTATGAGACTATTTAAAAAAATAACTATTGTCATTATATTTATATAGGATAATTGTAATACCAATACATATTAATTATTGTATTGTTATATTACTAAAGTAGTTAATATTGATAAATAGTCTATAATTTAATAGACATATGCTTTTCCCACAGAATATTCTATAGAAATATTATAACAATAAATTGTTAGTAAGCTTATATTGTATGTGAATATTAATAAATTTAGTTATTTAGGTTTAATTAATTTATATTTTAAATAAAACAAGAAATAAGAGTAATAATTATAAATATCTAAAACAATAATCTTTAAACAATAAACTCTATTATATTTTAAAGGTTAATAAATAAGATTATATATTATTAAAAAAATAGTTTGATTGTTAAATATTCACAGCCGATGCAATAGTATAACTCAATAAAAAATTTATATTGATATTTTATAAGAAAATATATTATTATTCAAAATTTTAGTATTTTATTAGATTTAGAACTAATAATTCGACATAAAATGTTTAATAATTTTTATATGCATTTTTATATAAATTACAATTTCTTAATATTAAACATATATTTTATTTAAAAATATAAGTCAAGGTTTTACAGTTATAATTTTAACAATTTTTTGCATTATTATGACAAAATAAACCAGCACATAATGTGTTTTTGTAGTTATAAAATTTTTTAAAAAACTAATCGACAAAATTAAAATAAAATCTTATTATACAAATAAATAATATAAATATACAATAGATAGTTAACAGTAACACATACACGCAAATAATACTACTAACAATGGAACATTTTTACCTGTTTATTTCATTTTAAAACAAAACATAGTTTAAGTTATAGTTAAATCATTATATTAAACAGTTTTTAAAAAATTATCACCTAATGGGGGGTTTTAATGGGTTTACAAAGGGGTTTAAAAATAGGTTAAAATAAGAGTTATGTTATAATATGATTTAAGAGTGCATTTATATGTGCGGCCCAATGGTCTAATGGTAGAGTCTACGTACACATAGCTATAGTTTTAGGGTTCGAATCCAAGCCAGTAAAACAAACTTTTTTTTGTAATATTTTATTTTTATTTTTATAATTATTTTATATTTAGCAATTATTACTTGTATAATTAATTAATTAATAATGCATTAATAAATGAATAAAATAAATAAATAATATTAATAACATACAAAACATTTTTTTGTAAACAATAAAACATTAATATTTTATGCAGTTTTTAAAACTGTTATAAATTTTATAACTTATAAATAAAAAAAGTTTTGTTTACAATTGAAATGTTATTATTGGATTTGTTTTAATAATTTTTATATAATATTCTTATGTAAACAATATTATTGATTAAAAGTATTCAAAATACAAGAGTTTCACTATTAACAGCAATTATCAACTATTGTCTCATTTGTCAACACATTGTTTGGAAGTCAAAGAAAGATATCAATACATCATATAATGACAAAACAGTGATTATTATAGTAAACACAGTATTAATTAAAATGCATTCATTTAATGTGTTTAATGTATTAGATACTTTGACTAATTTAATTAAAAGTAATTATATTAATAATAAAAGTGATGTCAATGAATATGAAATTAATTTTGCTAATAATTTAATGAAAGTGATAAATAATTTTGTTGATAATATTGATGACAGCATTGAAGAAGGTGAACTGATGGAAAGCGAATCTAATGATATTGATAACGATAATAATATCAAAGAAGAGTCTGATTATGAAATTTCTCCTCAAAAGGTATTTTTTATTGATTTCCTAGCCAATAGAACACACCAGAATAATAATTTTTATAGTCTTTAGAAATGAATATAAGTTTCGAAAGAATGAAAGAAATAGTTAACTATTGTAATAAACATAAAAATCATTCGAATAAAACAGTAATGAAGAGATTTTCATTAAAAAATATTCAAAATATTAGTCGAATTAAGAAATACGTGCAAAACAATGGAAATAGTAAACACAAATGGCAACGTATAGAAGAACATGTTTTATCTAAATATCGAAATGCTAGAGAGAAATTTCTCCCTGTTCACACTGTGGACTTAATTCGTTGGGCTTTGGAATCGGCTCATAAAGACAACTTTAAGATAAAAGCTAGTTCTTCGTGGGTCAGAAATTTTAAGTCAAGAAATAGAATTGTGTCTCGAAAAGCTATTAAAATTGTCAGTTATAGAGAAGTTATTAATCAAGAAAAGTTAAACGAATCTATTGAAAAATTTAAAGTCGAATTCAATAATTCAATGATTGATTACAATCCAAGGTAATTTCCAGTGTATTCTAATGGCTAGGAGTTAGTAATTGTTTTATTTTTTCAGCGAGATCTGCAATACCGATCAAACAGGAGTGAATTACGAATCGCATTCAATAAGAACTTTATCAGATAAAGGCGAGACAACAACTTCATTATCTGTCAGAGCATTGTTTGACTGCACACATTCATATACCGTTATGCCTATTGTTAAAAGTGATGGAACTTTTTATCCTAAAATTTTGATATGTTTTAAAGAAACAAATGGTGTTTTAGGACCAACAGTTAAAAAGTCATTAATTGATTGCACAAACATTATCATAACATGTAGTCATTCTGGAAAGTTAACAAAGTCACACATAAAATGGTGGTATGTTTTAATATCCTAGCCTATAGAACACACTGGAAATAATGTTTTTAATTAGGTTTGAAAATGCCTTTTTGCCTGATATGCCTGAAAAATGTCTTTTACTTTTGGATTCATATGGAGGACAAAAAGATGATAAAATATATGAAAATAGTTCGGGTAAAAAATTAAAGCGCCTCACAATACCTCCCCGTGCAACAGGAGTACTTCAACCATTAGATGTGGGTGTGTTTAGGTATTGTAAGGCTTTTGTTAAGCGTATTACAAATTATGTAATGCTTGAAAATATTGAAATACAATTAAAACATAGAAATAACATTATTAAAATGTGGTCATTAATGTTCAACCAATTCAATTCAAATGATTTTCATGAATTTTTTAAAAAATCATGGAATTCATTATATAATAGTAATAATAATAACAATAATAATAATGAAAATATTAATGAATTGTCAAATATTAACAAAATATTATTTCAATTAGAATCAATTGATTGTAATTTATGTAGTAATACAGCATTTATTTGTTGTGCTATTTGTAAAAAAAATTTATGTTTTAAAGATTTTTTTATTGATTATCATTTCCATTAAATAAAATTATACTAATTATTAATTTTTTAGTTATTTATTTATTAAAAAATAAATATTATAGTAAAAAATAATACTAAAAAATAAAACAAAAAAAAGTTTGTTTTACTGGCTTGGATTCGAACCCTAAAACTATAGCTATGTGTACGTAGACTCTACCATTAGACCATTGGGCCGCACATATAAATGCACTCTTAAATCATATTATAACATAACTCTTATTTTAACCTATTTTTAAACCCCTTTGTAAACCCATTAAAACCCCCCATTAGGTGATAATTTTTTAAAAACTGTTTAATATAATGATTTAACTATAACTTAAACTATGTTTTGTTTTAAAATGAAATAAACAGGTAAAAATGTTCCATTGTAAGAAGTGTTTAAACAATTGGTTATTAAATGTCTAACCAATTGTTAAATACTAGTCTTATTGTTAGATTAATAGTTAAATTTGTATTGAATGTATTGATTATTGAGTTGTTGACACAAAACACTAATAACAATAAAGAAAGTTATTAATAGATTATTATTCATCCAAAAAAAGTTGTTTAACAAATTTTTAAAAATATTTATAATTTAATATTTATAATCAAATATTAATATAAATATTAAATGATCAAATAGTTGATTTTATTTTTACTTTATAATGTGTCACAAATGACACTAAATTATTGATTACAAATGAATTTTACTAATAATTCGCAAATTAAAAAATTACAATAGCTTTTAATAATTAAATAAAACTAAATTTTTAAATTACAATATTTTTCAAAATTTTATTATAATTCTATAATTTTATAATTATTGTTTAATTACTGTATAGACATCTGTTGTCATACAAAACATATAACAGTAACTTAAATATTAATTTTTTAAGTTTTAAAATATCAATTCATTGATAACCTGATCGTAATGTTTGTTAAGCTCTCCTATAAACTGATAACTACCTGACCCTACATTGCTGTGTACCGTTTCATTGCGGATAAATGTCACATCAATTGTCGCCCGTGTGTTCACTGGTATTAATGCCTATGAATATAAAAATAATTAGTATAACTATAACATTAAATATTGATTATTTAAAAAAATTACATTAAATTTAATGTGTGTGCCATTAGTGACCCATGAGTTGTCAATTTGACCGTTAATTGAATGATAAGAAGCGGTCAGATTATAGAGATTGGCACCGGGTTTGGGTGAAATCAGTATATCCTTAAAGGCAACACCGTTACCATTATTATCAATACCGGCCACAGATTGCCACAGCCATCGTCCGACTGATCCTAACGAATAGTGATTGAATGAATTCATACCCGGGTTTTGAAACCCTTTTTCTTTAGTCCAACCATCCCATCGCTCCCAGATTGTTGTCGCATTATTATTTATGCTGTATCCCCAGGACGGGTAGGTTTCCTGTAACAGTAGCTTATAAGCAACATCGTGGTGTCCAAACTGTGTTAATGTTGGACACAAATATCCTACACCTAATAACATAAAGTATACATTAAAGTCAGTTATTAATGATTTTCATTTACATTACAACTAACCAATAAAACCAGTGGTCAGATGCCAGTTATGAGCTTTAATATTGTCAGCCAAATGATTGGCGGCTAGTGGTCTCAACTTTTCAGGTAATAACTCAAATGCCAATGCAATCACATAACCAGTTTGTGTGTCACCTTTGATACGTCCATCAGTGGAGTTGACAAAAGCCTTATTAAAAGCATTGGCAATATTTTGATGTAAATCAGTGTATTTCTTGACATCTTCGGGACGATTGAGAGCGGCGGCCATTCGGGACATCAACAGAGCGTCGTATCCATAGTAAGCAGTATTCATCACTTCCTTAGGTGTGTCGGCGTTTACTTGAAGCCAATCACCGAAATTATTGTTTAATCGTTTAGTCCACATGTAATCAGGATTTTGGGATCCGATATAAGTCATCCATTTATTCATAGGTTCGTAATGATTGGACACCATCTGTAAGTCGCCAAACATCTTGTATACAGTATAGGGAACTATGACACCAGCATCGCCCCAAGCGGGTGCACCGTCTGCTGGATCTACCATTCGGGGCGCAACATCAGAAAAGCCTCCTTCAGCAGACTGGCCATCGACTACATCGCGCATCCATTTGGTATAAAACGCTGCAACATCTCCATTATAACTGGCCGTATGTACAAAAATCTCTGCGTCGCCCATCCATCCCAAACGCTCATCACGTTGTGGACAGTCAGTCGGTACCGAAATAAAATTACTTCGTTGACCCCAACGTATATTACTTATCAATTTATTGACCAAAGGATTAGACGTTTCCAAACGAGACTTAAGAGGTGTGTCGGAGTGGATCACTCGTGCCGTGAGATCAGTTAGTTGTGGTTCGCCCGGATATCCACTGATTTCAACGTATCGATAGCCATGAAATGTAAAGTCCGGTTCAACGGTGTTTTCAGATGAGTCTAGTGATCAATATTTGTATTATTATTATTATCTTTCAAAATGAAAATCATTTGTTTGTGTCAAACCTGTAAAAACATAGGTATCAGTAGCTAAGGCTGATCTCAGGTTAAGTGTATATATCGATCCGTCGGGATTAAGTACTTCGGCATATCTTAACTGAACACGTGTTTGCGCACCGGCAGGTTTTTTCAATCGAATCCAACCGACCGAGTTCTGGCCAAAATCAAATACCCAAATACCGGGTTTGCTCTGCCATTTGGCAATAGGTTTGATCTCCTGTGTTACTCTGATAGGCACACCACTATCAGCTACTAGTGCTACATTTTTATCGGTTGGCCTAGCAACTACCTGTGCCCATTTGCTGTCATCAAAATTCAGGAATCGCCAATTTTTCGGTTCCAAGTTCTCATAAGACAACTGTCCATGCAACATATCTGAATATAATATTGAACCGGTACTCACTTTCCATGTATTGTCCGATTTGATAACTGCTGTAGTGTTATCTTCGTATTGTACGTGCAATTCAACTAATAGTGATTGATCGGCACCGTATAGTTTATATTGTCGAGAGAATCCTATATAACCGCTGTACCAACCGGTTCCCAATAGGACACTGATTGCCGTATCTTTTCCAGTGATTAAATTAGTGACATCATATGATTGGTAATTGATTGTCTTTCTGAAGTCAGTCCAACCGGGATTCATTTTTTGATCGCTGACCAGCATATTATTGATCCATACTTTATATACTCCCTGTGCTGTTGCATATAGAATAGCACTTTTGACTTTAGTAGTCGATGGTGTACTGTATTGTTTGCGCATATAAAGCACCGGTAATAAGCCCTGATGACTTTGTACAACCTATTTTAATAAATAAAAGTTAGTAAATAACATATAATTACAAGTAATGTTTTATTTAATACTTTTTGGTCGATATCTTTCAATTGTTTTTGTGCCTCATGTTGTAATCCATTTGGTGCTCCAATCCATTGTCCTGTCCATGTGTTCAAACCCTTTCCCCAATAGGCAACTGTACTAAATGTTGACTCTTTGTCCTCCTGATCCCATACTTTAACTTTCCAGTAGACTATCTGTCCTGCATTTAATGTCTTTCCTTTGTAATGTATATGATTGGTCAGATCGCTGGCCACTTTGCCGGTGTCCCATAAGTTGCCAACATTTTTGGCCAAACTTTGTTCATCACTTGATACCAGTATTTGGTACGCCTTTTGCGATAAACTGTGTTTTTGTGGATCAGTTGCCTCTAAAGTCCATTGAAGACGCGGCTCAGCGACATCAACGGCCAATGGATTTACCAGATATTCAACTTTTAAATCTTTGACTGAGATATCAACGCATTTTGTATATGAAAAGCAAATAAATACTATAAGAAATATATGATTTAAAAAATGCATTTTCAATTTTTTGTTTAAAATATAAATTAAAATATCATATACTGGTATTAAATAAATTTACAGCATATATATAATTTAGATATTAACAACTTATAACTCATAATATATTAATTATTTAACAAATTGCTTTTTATATATATTGGTAAATATAATAAACTGATAAATTTGTGATTTGTTAGTTATTAATAATTATCAAAAATTGAAAAATGTTAAGTACAACACTTATATGTAATTATTTTCACAATGTTTAATATACTAATTATTATTATTATTATTATCTACAAGATTATTGAGTACTAAATTAGTACTATTAATTAACTATATTTTTTAATAAAAAGCAAAATATTTTAGATTAAATGCATTTCACAAGTTTAATAGAACTTTAAAATTATCTATTTATTTGATTTTAAAAAGGTAAGTTATTTTTTAAAGGTAACAGTAAGGTAACAGTACTAAATGTAGTTAATATTTTTATTGTACATTATGTCACTAATTCAATCTAAATCACTTTAAAAAACCAAAATCAATGTGAAATTTATTAATAATTAACATATGTTTTACAACATAGCTATATATTAATCCTGTTTTGAGTTTGATTAGCAAAACTATAGAAAAAATTAATAATTTAAACTTTTATCATTATATTAAAAACTTTTATCAAATAATTATGGTTGATAAAATTAACTATATTGTTATTTATAGTTTAATTAAATTTAATGCACCTAGATATAATTTTAAATATGCTACATCTACATGTACTTATACAATACATGTACCAGTTCTACAGTGTAATACAACAATTATTGTGATATTATAACCATTTATTATTATGTATGATAAAATGATATTTTTAAAAAATAGTTTTATATTAATGAATTTCATGAATAATAAATACATGTTATTAAAATTTTTATTGCTTAAATATTAATTATTCATTATGTAACAATCAATTTTTATTTGTAATTAATTATAATTATTTCAAATTAACATTATAATCATATATTCCTGACCCAACTTCGTATAACTTGCCGGCAAAGCTCAGATCAACAGTAGCTCTGGTATTGACCGGAATGTTAATCTATAATTAAATTTAAAAATATATAATTTAAAATACATCAAATATTACTATAAATTTTTTTTTAAAAAGTCGCACAAATCATACCTTTAATGTAAATTTTTTATCACTCGTGTGCCATGAGCTGTCTATCCGGCCGTTTATTGATTTGTATGATGCGTTTACATATGTAAGTCCCTGCCCTGGATTAGGACGGATTAAGATATGTTTGAATCCAACTTCATTGCGTTGAGAACCGGTATCAATGCCAGCCATTGATTGAAAAAGCCATCGACCGACAGACCCGAGAGAGTAGTGATTGAATGAATTCATTGACGGATCTTGAAATCCTTTCTCTTTAGTCCAACCATCCCATCGCTCCCATATTGTTGTCGCGTTGTTGGCAATACTGTAGCCCCAGGAAGGGTATGTATTCTGCAATAGCAAACGGTAGGCCACATCGTTGTGACCGAATTGTGTCAAAACTGGACACAGATAACCGACACCTGTTTAATACAATTATGTTATAAACTAGAAGTTATAACTATATATATATATATATATATATATACTTAACCGATAAAACCAGTGGTCAGATGCCAGTTATGAGCTTTAATATTTTCGGCCAAATTATTGGCGGCCAGTGGTCTCAACTTTTCGGGCAACATCTCAAATGCCAGTGCCAGCAAATACACTGTTTGTGTTTCACCTTTGATATGTCCGTCGGTTGAGTTGACAAAAGCCTTATTGAAAGCATTGGCAATATTTTGATGTAATTCAGTGTATTTCTTGGCGTCTTCGGTACGATTGCTAGCGGCGGCCAATCGGGACATCAACAGTGCATCGTATCCATAGTAAGCAGTGGACAGTACCTCTTTAGGTGTGTTAGCATTTACTTGAAGCCAATCACCATAATTATTATTAAGTCTTTTGGTCCAAATATAGTTGGGATTTTGAGATCCTATATAATTCATCCATTTATTCATCGCTTCCCAATTGTCTTCAATCATTTTGAGATCACCATATTGTCTGTACATAGTATAGGGTACAATGACACCAGCATCACCCCAAGCAGGTGCTCCATCCACTACATTACAAGCTCGTGGGGCAACATTGGAGAAGCCGCCAGCAGATGATTGGGCTTCTCTAACATCGCGCATCCATTTACTGAAAAAAGCGCTAACATCGGCGTTATAACTGGCCGTATGTACAAATATTTCTCCGTCGCCCAAAAATCCCAACCTCTCATCTCGTTGTGGACTATCAGTTGGCACCGAAAAAAAGTTACTCTTTTGTCCCCAAAGTATATTATCGTGCAATCGGTTAACCAATGGACTGGATGTCTCCAACTGGCCAGTTATGGGTGTATCGGAATGAACGACCCGTCCAACAATATTAGTTAATTGTGGTTCACCTGGAAATCCAGTTATTTCTATGTACCGAAAACCATGGTATGTAAAGTGAGGTTCAAAATCTTGAGCTTTGGTATGATTTCCATCCAAAACATAGGTATCGATAGCCAGTGCTGATCTCAAGTTTTTCACATATACATTGCCATCTTTTTCCAGTGCTTCTGCGTGTCTCAACTGAATGCGTGTGGATTTACTATTTGCTGGCACATGTAGTTTAACCAAACCGACCATATTTTGTTCAAAATCAAAGACCCAAACTCCAGGTTTTATCTCTCGACGCGTTTTCGGACTGATTTCTTGTGTCACTCGTACTGGTTGTGACCTTTCGGTTACCAATTTTACTTTCGGATCAATAGGTTTGATGATCACCGGCAGCCAGCTTTTGTCATCATAGGCTGGACTACTCCATTGGCCAATATCACGACTCTGGTAGTATAGTTCACCCATTAATATATCAGAATAAATGATAGGACCGGTATTAACTTTCCAAGTGTTATCTGATTTTATGACAATTTTTTCATTATTATGATATTCAATGTGAAGCTCCAGAAGCGCAGTCTGATTTGATCCATATAATTGGAATTGGTGTCTATAGCCGACGTATGAACTAAACCAACCGGTGCCCAATATCACACCCAATGCATTGTCTTTACCTAACAGTTCAGTCACATCATAGGCTTGATATTGAATAGTATTATGATAGTCGGTCCAACCGGGACTCATACGATCATCAGCTACTGGTTTGCCGTTTAATAGTACTTCATATGCTCCCTGTGCTGTTGCATACAATATTGCAGTTTTTATTGTTGGTTCACAAGTAAAATGTTTTCTCAAATATAGCACAGGCATTAACGCAGGTTTTGATTTGACTAACTATTATAATAATTAATAAAAAGTTATAAATAAATGTGTAATTGTAAGTTATGCTAATTTAAAATAAATATTTTTAAATAATTCTAGTATAGCATACCTGTGCGTCAATTTCATCAATATTTTTCAGTGCATTTTTCTGTGTGCCTACCGGTGCACCAATCCATTGTGCTGTCCAATTGATAAGCGCATTGCCCCAATAGGCAACTGTACTAAATGTTGACTCTTTGTCCTCCTGATCCCATACCTTAACCTTCCAGTAGGCTCTCTGTCCTGCATTTAGTGTCTTTCCCTTGTAATGTATATGATTGGTCTGATCGCTGACCACTTTGCCGGTGTCCCATAAGTTGCCAACATTTTTGGCCAAACTTTGTTCATCATTTGATACTAGTATTTGGTACGCCTTTTGTGATAAATTGTGTTTTAGTGGATCAGTTGCCACTAAAGTCCATTGAAAACGCGGTTCATTGACGTCAACGGCCAATGGATTTACAAGATATTCAGTTTTCAAATCAATTGGATTTATATCACTATTGCATTTAATATATGCAAATAGAAATTGAAACAAAATAACTAATATTTTCATTGTTTTTTATTTTTTATAAATATATTAATGTAGTCATTAATCAGTCAGTTAGTAATTTTGCTGATTTTTATATAATGTTAAAAATTTTCAATTATAATGTGACAATTTATATTTATACTGTATTATATTATATATATATTTTTTTATCAATTATCGAGAAATTTTTAATATTATTTCCCATATAATTTTTTTAAGATAATATAATAAATATTTTATAGAAATATTTTACTTTGATACTTAAATATTGTACTTAAGCTAATTTGTCTTATACAGTACAATTATAAATTAAGTGCAATTAATAAATCTATATCATTTAGATACATTTTTTATTTAGGTTATATTATAACAACGATTATTGAATTTAATTAAATGTATAACTTATTTTTGATTATACTCAAGTATTGATCCATCATAAGTTCATAACTATTTAATGATAACAATAGAAATGCAATTATATGTATATTATATGTATTGATTTTACATTTTTTACTATTTATTATTGTAAAATAACTTTTTATTAATACACCAATTTTATTAAATTTGTTAAAATTACAAGCTATTTATTTAATTAATTAAACAATTAAAATAATATTAAACAAACGTTATATTATATATAATTATTTATATTAAAGTTGTATTTTTTTAAGTTTACCGGTATTATAAATTAAGCTTATTATTTGTTATTGAAGTTAGCATAACATTTATATAATAAAACAAATAATATTATATATATATATTTATAAATCACAGAATTTCACAGAAAATAAAATCTTATAAAAAACATATTTTTTGTAAAAATTACAACTTTTATAATGTTTTGTCTATTTTAGTTACAAAATAGTTTAAAATCATATTTATATATAAAAAAAATTGTAAAAATTAAATAATTAATTTCTATTGAGATATTTTCCTAATTTTCCCAATTGTTGACCAATTTTCTTCAATTCTTCGTCAATGATCTGCCAATTGTAGAGTACGTCCTGAGTTGTTGGCGTCCTATGGCTATCACTCGAGTGTATGTAATCAGCGGAACCAGAGCTCAGACCACTGCCAAACCTCTCAGAATAGCCGTTATTATTATTATTATTATTACTGTGATTGTCATCGTTATCGCTAAAAGAAATGTATAGAAACAAAAATAATTTAAATTAATTAAAAATATGAATTTATATATTTCACTGCATACTTGTGCTCGTAATCATTGTCGAGTTCAAAGTTTACTGGTTTATCGTTGACACTACCGCTGCCAAGTCCTGAGTTCATCATAAACGACATATCCTGTAAGCTATCGACAGCACCGGGAGATCTCATTGTATTGAAAAACATTTGTTCGTTTAGTTGGGGATAATTTTGATTATTAAGTTTCGACATCCATTGTTGAGATAATTGTAACGGCAGTGGTAATTGTGCTTTATTTAGTTTAGCATTGGATTCTATGCGTGTGTGTGTGTGTATGTGCACAGGTAGATATTATCATTTACACATTTGTCATTAAATTAAAAATATTAATATTTTTTTCAAACCTGATATCTGTTCCAACAAATCCTGTTGAGTGGACTGTTGTTGTTGTTGTTGTGGTTGTTGTTTGGCTCCCTTCTTGCCGCGGAACAGCTCCATAACCCTTGATTTCGGTATAATTGGCACAAACAGTGGGAACGGTATCATACCTTCGCTTAACTTTTTGAATGTCTTCATTACTCCGTCCAAACCGAACATAGCTTTCATGCCATCGGCTATTAGATCCAGTGATGAACCGCCGGCTGATGTTTGCTGACAATAAATTGTTGACACATTGATTGTGGAAAAGATTACTACAGTTATCAATAATATTTTATACATATTTTTTTTGCTGGTAATAATAATTATTATAATAAAATATATTTATTTAGATTTTTAATTTTAATATTTTAATCAAATTTGATAATAGTATTCAACTTCATTCAGCAAACGCTTACTTATACTTTAAAGTAAATGACTATTGTTTTTAATATATTTAAATTGTCGACATTAATGAAAAAAAAATTCAATAACACAAAAAAAGTTGAGTCAAAATCTTATCTTTTAATACTTGGGTTACCACTAAATGTTTTAAATATATATTAAAATCAAATTATAATACAACTGATAAAAGTTAGTTCACAGACATATAAACAAAGACAATATTTATATAATTGGAGCACAAATGATATATTGCATATTAGTTTGTAGTTTATTAACAATTGTATAAAATGATTACACCAACAGTATATATATATTAATATTAAATATTTATAAGTTTATAGTTAAACTATTTTTATAATTCAAACAATGTTTTTTTCAATAAAATGAAATAAAAATAACTTAAATCTTTCTCTCAGTGCTTTGTAACTCACAATCTATCATTTGGTTTGTGTTATGTCTGTATAGGGGAGGATGTGTTTCACATACATAAAACAAAATATATATTTAAAAAAATTTTTTTTTAATAGTTTGATGTAAAAGTTATAAAAAGTTAAACGCTTTTGATCTCAATATTAAACACTATATTTAGTGTATCGTTTGTCTTAACCATTACTTTTGAGTTAAAAAATAGTGTTTCATAAAAATTAAGTTATATTTTACAACACTTTTATAAAAACAACTATCGGTGGTTCAAATATCGTATAAATTTATTTTAACATTTCTCTCTCTCTCTCTCTCACGACATACCTTACTATCTGAGAAAACTTGTTGAAAAAAAGTTGTTGAAACAGTTATATTTGTTTTAAATTATGATAAGAGAGAGAGAGAGAGAGAGAGAGAGAGAGAGAGAGAGAGAGAGAGAGAGAGAGAGAGAGAGAGAGAGAGAGAGAGAGAGCATAGATAGAGATAATAATAAAAAATTTAAACACAAGAAAATTTAGTTTAATATATTTTTTTGCTCACTAACTAACTATAGCCTCAATAAATAAATAAAAAAGTTTATTATATTATTATATTTAGTAGTACTGTATATATAAGATATGAGAATTGAATAAAATAAAAAAGAAGATATTTATATAGTGATTGTCATTACAATTACAATTTACTTATGAATTCACCTCTAATTTTAAGACATTAGTGTTGATTGAAGGTATGGTAAGGCCTATCAGTTAATACAATATATGTGTTGCGAGAAGAAAAAACAGGTCTGACTCTAGGCTTTAAAAGAAAATATATATGTTTTTAATGCCATTTAATTGGCCTCAAAAAAATTAAAACCCATTTCTGGGTCTCATATATTATATTATATATATAGCATACAAGTGCTAAACAAACCAATAGCTTAATTATCCCATCAGAGATCATATATCAGATTATTTTCCATTTAATACTAGGGGGTGTCCAACGGGGAAGGGCTCGATAACCACTAATTTTAAATCACGTATTGCCAAAAAAATCATCAAACATGTACTTAATTTGAGTTTTATTGGTCAAGTGTGAGCTCCGGTAATCAATTTAATAATTTTTTTCAATACTGTTTGCTAAAAATCAATGTCTTAGCGGACAGTTATATATATTTTGGGGTTTCCAGGCCTTGAAAAATTCAATTAGCGATTGAACAGTATTCACGATATTTCGAGTAAAATAAAATTAAAAAATAATTTCATAATTTTAGGTCAATTTTATTGATTTATCATCATTAAAGTTTGGTTTACTTTATATAAAATAATCAATTTTTGTTAGTTTTTGGAAAATTTTGTTTACAAACTGTATTTTTTATTCATTATTGTAATAATAATTTTTATTTATTTAAATATTGTTTGTTATGTAAATTTTTTAAATAATATATATATATATATATAATTTATGTCTATCAAAAAATATAATAAGAATATATCGTATGTTTGAAAATAATTGTTTAAACTAGTAATTTAAAAAAATTTTGATTAAAATCATTTTAATGAATATACAGTATATAATAATAATTAGTTAACTTATTTTATATTTATACTTTATATGCTGTTTAAAATTAACGAAATAAAATATTGATAGATTTTATGAGAATTTAATGAGAAGCTATAACTATATATATATATATGAAATACAGTAAATTAATAATAAAATAAATTGTTTATAGATATAATCAATTTATTTTACTTACTTATTAAATGTCTAAATATTAATCAGTTATGGTTAATCTACATTTTTTTCTCAAATATTTATTACTATAAAAATATAGATAATTATATTTTTTAAAATATAAAAAATGATTTTCTTTTTTAAAAAAATACATTTCATTTGTAATGTTTTTACTAAATATGTATTAAAAATCTATATTTATTAACAGCGATACTATTTTTAGATATTTTTCTCTCCAAAAATTTTATGTTACAATCAGATGACCGTCCGATAAGATTATTATGAGTTCAATAGGTTTTTAGACAGCATTAACACGACTAATATTATATTAAAACTAAATAAATCATTTCAGCAAAATTATTTAATTAAAAAATAATTTAGTCATTCAATTTTAGAGTACTTTATATATATTTGGGTCATTTTATTATTAAATAATTAATATAAATAATTATTAAAAAGTATTATTACTAACGTTCATTAAATAGTGTAATTAATTAGATTTTAAAATATAAGTAATGTATTAATGTTTTTGAAGAGATGAGTGAATACAACATATTTTAATTTCATATATCATCTAATTTTATGATATTTTATATTTCAAAATCAAATTTAAATAATTTTTTAAACATAAGTTATGCATTTAGTCTAATTAATTAATTAATTAAAAAATAATAAAAACATATTCTTTTTGTTAATAAAATTATTAAAATAATTAAAAAATAATTATAATTTATAGCTAAACATCAGTAATTTTAATAATGCTATTAAGGGTTCGTTAATAAATTAAAATATTATATATATATTCTCTCTATATTTATAATATTCCTAATAAAATTGCCAAATTTTTTTTAATGCTGACATCTATTGATTTGAATAGTTATTTTTGAGAAAGTAATATTAAAAATTATATATTAATTTAAACTTAATTAATTTAAAATTTTTATAAAGTAGTTTAATATTAAAAAATATCGTTAAATTAAATCATTAAAACTTATAATAAATATTCGGAATTATATACAATATTTAATTAATGTATAAAATATAATAGAATAAAATTAATTTTTTATTTTTCAATAAAATTGATGAGAATTTACAGAGAAATATACAGAATATAAAATATTACTGTAATTTACAGAATTAAAAACTTTAATAAAATGTTTATTTTAAGCAATAAAAAATAATGTCAATAAAAGAGTTTATAAAAACTTCATACAATTCATAGTATATATCAAATATCTGATAAACCATACTTTAAATTTAAAAATGACCAAGAACATAATTATAGATGATATTGTGATCAATGTTTGGATCAATTGATGACAACAACAACAAC